CTTGTGGGACACTCTTGTGGGACACTCTTGTAGGAAACTCTTGTGGGACACTCTTATAGGACACTTTGTGGGACACTCTATCTGGGAGCGTTTCGTACGAGACTTCCTCCAAAAGTCACACGACAAGTCTCCAAAACGAGCGTTTCGTACGAGATTTCCTCAAAAAGTCACACGTCAAGTCTCCAAAACGAGCGTTTCGTACGAGACGTCCTCAAAAACTCACACGTCAAAGTCTGCAAAGCGAGTGTTTCGTATGAGACTTCCTCCAAAAGTCAAGCGGAAACACCCATCAGAGCACACACATCATGCAGCCCTGCCAAGCAGTTTCGCGAGTCCAGCCCCTTCAAATAACATTTGCTCACACGCTAATCCCACATTCACCTCTACCACTAAGCTCACCACCTCACGATTGCCTGCGCCTGCCACAAATCTTTCCCCATCCACACGTCTAACGCGCACAAAGTCCTGCGCCTGCCACGAGATTTCACCTCCCTGACACCTCGCAACCTCACGATTCCCTGCGCCTGCCACGAGAATCGCACTTCCACGCCTCAAAACCCGCACGAAGTCCTGCGCCTGCCACGAAAAGTCAGAATATCATCTCATGTGAGCTTCAACAAAATGTGCACCACACCACACGTTTGGAATGATTTCGATCCGTTCTGAGCACACTCCCATCCACCAAAATCGCCATTTCAGCTGAGACTTGTCACGAAAACAGAGCTTCGATGTCACACCCTGAAACGCAAATCCCAATGGCACGGCCACATCCAACACCCCAAAAACACCACTCTCCACACGCTAATCCCAAAGGAACTGCGCAGCAAACTGCGGATCTCACAAAACGCTGCCTGCGCAGTGAAATCATCTTAGTATTGCTCTTTGGAATTTTGGAATTTTTTTTTTGCTCTGTGGAAGGGTTGGTGCCATCTTCCTTGAGTGATACCATTCTAGGTGCAAAATCGAGAATTCAAAATAACTTATAAGCTTCCTACTCAAGGGTCTAAGAAAACAGCTGTGGCAAAGTCATTGTGCAAAGCGAGGCATACAACGCCAGCCAACTTCAAGGCATTTGACGGGACTTTGTGAGAATGTGACAATTGAAGGGCAACAGGGGAAAGTTAATTTCCTGTGTCCAAAGAATAATTTTGCAGCACCCGCTCGACAAACAGGCAACCCCCACTCGAGAACACGTTTTCCAAAGTTTGTGTAGAACAGGAAGGCTGCAATAATCAGCCTGGTTGGAGGTTCCCATGCTTGGTTTGGAACCGCTGGCTGGAGCAATCTTCAATTCAATTCAAGAGAAAATATGGTGCGCAGTGCAAGCCAGACTCCCAAGCTTCCCGTTAGTTAGAAAACTTAGAAGTTAAAACTGTAATGTTTTTACAGGTCTTTTTCCGGAAGCCTGAAACATTTAAAGCATTCAATGCACCAATGTAAAGAAAGCCAGACACCCAAAATTGAAGAAGTCTTGATCGCGCTCTTTTTTCATTCTGCGCGAGCTCACTGCATGCATCCTGGCCGATGCAGCCAGAGATGCAACAAAAAGCTTTGCGCCCATGCCAGAGTGCATGTATCTTGGCCGACGCAGCCAAAGATCACGCCAGCGGGTTCCAAACCTCGTCGTTTTCCTCACCCTCTTCCATCTCCACTTCCTGGTCGTCATCATCGACCTCCCCAGCTGAGGCTTCGGTTGCTTCTGTCTTTTTTGTTTGTTTTTTGTGGGTGGCTCATCATCGCCGCCTACTGCAGGCTTCGGCTTGGCCCTAGGCTCAGGCTTCTTAGGTGGCTTTTCTGGCTTCGGTTTCGGCTTTGGCTTATTTGGTTGACCCTTGGCCTTGGATTTGGGTTCGGCTTTGGCTGCAGCAGTCACTTGCTCACCAACCGCAATATGCCCCCAGCCTGAAAAATTGTCCTTCTTGCACTTAGAGGACGACATTCTGTGGGCCCTGGCCGAATCAGCCAGAGGCCCACTTATTTTATCTTTCCTTGAGCAAAAAGCTGCGTCGGACGAGAATCGTGTATCTGAGCCTCCTACAGAGGTGACTAACAGACTACTCCTTACAAGCTTCAAGAACGTTCCCGAGGCTCGGTTGGAGCAGGATAAAAGCAGACTGTCCTAGAATTAGAAAACATGAATGGAATTTTTTCTAGCAGTCTGCTTTTTTCCTGCTCCTTAGGAGGTTCAAGAACGTTCCCGAGGCTCGGTTGGAGCAGGCTAAAAGACCTCTCCTTACAAGCCTGGCGCGCCATTTTTTTCCCTTTCCCAAACTTCCTGTCTCAGCCGAAGCAGCCAATGACAGGCTCCTGGTCTGTCCTTGGCAGCTGGCCGAAGCTCCCAGTCAGCCTTGGCTTACTGCGCGTCCTCGGCAAGGACTTCAAGAGCAAAGTTAGGGAACCATTTGCTCACTCCACTCCAAGACAGTGTCAAAAAAGAACCTGGCATGTCTTCAAGCACTCGGACACACGCCAAAGCTGCCTTGAAATCATTCTTAGTGAATTGAGTCAACGGGTCTCTCAAATAGCTCGGCCCACGCGGAGGCAGGCCTGTGACGACGCGAAGCGTAGGGTATTGATGCGGACAAGTATATTTGATTGTGGTGCAAACATCCAGCACATGAACCAAACTTCCGTCTAGCAGGGCTGTTGCTGAATCAGGTAAATGCTGCCATGCCCACAGTAGCGCGTTCCTCAAGCACTCAGCTTCGTCCAGGGCATCGTCCTCCCCAAAGTGGAGGATCAGCAAACGGCGGGTATCTGCAGTAAAGCGACAAAAGGACTTCAACATTTCTGGATCAGGACCAGGGGGAGCCATTGCCATAGAAAGGGCCAGCTTTGGGCCATTTGCAGCAGCCAGCTTGAGAATCTTCAGGGTTCAGCAGAAACTCCTGCCCAACCGCGCCAATTTCAATGTGGCCTTCGCCTCCACATTGCTCATGGCAAAGGATTTGGCCGAAGCAGCCAATGACCTCTGCAGAAAAGCACCTCACCGAAGCAGCCAAAGTACTCAGCAACCCCCACT